TGGAAAAAACTATCCAGACATTTATATGGAATAACAAAAGACCATGCATAGCCAAAGCAATCCTGAGCAAAAAAAAAAAAAAAATCTGGAGGCATAACACTACCTGACTTTAAACTATACTACAGGACCGGACCCCCCTCCACAACCAGGCACACTGCCAGAACCTCAGGGCCTGCCCAGGGACCTGAGGCATGGGTCCAGGGACTGGACCCCCCTCCCACAACCAGGCATACTGCCAGTGCCAAGGAGCATGCCGAAAACATCACCTCCATGTGGGTGGCCCACCACAGCCACCACAATAACCATGGCTGCTGCGCAAGTGGCTAGACACCACAGCCACCACGCACATGGTCTGCCAGCCACTGGACTGCACTGACACAAGGAGAGTCACCAACAGAGATCAAAGGAAAGAAGAGGATGTCTCTCTCCACAAAACCCATTCCGGAGTGACAAAAGAAGCATCTTCTCTATGATAATATTGGGGGAACTGAACACACCTCTCAGCATTGGACAGATCATCTAGGCAAAAAATTAACCGAGTAACCATTACTCTTTCAGAAGGAGAGAAGAAATCAAGGGTAAGTAGAAGGGGGGGGAGGAGAAGAGGATGGGGAGAGATTGGACAAGGGGCATAATGAATAAGTACAATTTGTAACAATATATGTCTAGTAATATTGATTTGATCAACATATGTCAATGTTGAGCCCCCCAAAATATGTATAATCAATTATGATTTGATAAAAATTTAAAAATAAATAAATAATATAAAAATAAAAGAAAATAAACTATACTACAAAGCTATAATAACCAAAAAAGCATGGTACTGGCATAAAAACAGACATGCGGATCAATGGAATAAAAAAAACCCCAGATATCAACCCATACACCTACAGCCATCTGATCTTTGACACAGGCTCCAAGTCTACACACTGGGGAAGAGACTGCCTCTTCAGCAAATGGTGCTGGGAAAACTGGATATTTACATGTAGGAGAATGAAACTAGACCTGTACCTCTCACCATATACCAAAATCAACTCAAAATGGTCTAAATAAATATACATCCTGAAACGATAAAACATCTCAAAGAAAACATAGGGGAAACACTCCAGGAAGTAGGAGTGGGTACACACTTCGTGAATATGACCTCAAAAGCACAGGCAACCAAAGGAAAAATAAACAAATGGGATTATATCAAACAAAAAACTTCTGTACAGCAAAAGAAACAATCAACAGAGCGAAAAGACAACCAACAGAGTGGGAGATAATATTTGCAAAATATACATCTGACAAAGGATTAATATCCAGAATATACAAGGAACTTAAACAACTTTACAGCCAAAAACCAAATAACCCAATGAAAAAATGGGCAAAGGAGCTGAATAGCATTTCTCAAAGGAAGATATACGAATGGCCAACAGACACATGAAAAAATGCTCAACATCACTCAGCGTTCGGCAAATGCAAATCAAAACCACTCTGAGATACTACCTCGCTCCAGTTAGGATGGCTAATATCCAAAAGACTGAGAATGATAAACGCTAGTGAGGTTGCAGAGAAAAAGGAACTCTCATACACTGTTGGTGGGACTGCAAAATGGTGCAGCCTTCATGGAAAATGATATGGAAGTTCCTCAAACAATTACAGATAGATCTACCATATGACCCAGCTATTCCATTGCTGGGAATATACCCAGAGGAATGGAAATCATCATGCCGAAGGTATACCTGTACTCCCATGTTTACTGTAGCACTATTTACAATAGCCAAAAATTGGAACCAGCCCAAATGTCCATCATCAGATGAGTGGATATGGAAAATGTGGTATACCTACACAATGGAATACTACTCTGCTATAAAAAAGAATGAAATACTACCATTTGCAATAACATGGATGGACTTAGAGAAAATCATATTAAGTGAAACAAGTCAGGCACAGAAAGAGAAATACCACATGTTCTCACTTATTTGTGGGAGCTATAAATAAATATACAAACAAATAAGGGGGGGGAGAAGACACAACAATCAAAACAATCCCTTGAACTTAAGACAAGTGAACAGATATGATGTAGTGGGGGGGGAGGGAGGGAGGAAAGAGGAATGGGTAAAGGGACAGGACAATCAACTACAATGTATATTGAGAAGTTAAAAAAAAAAGAAAAAGAAAAAAACCCAGCTGATAATTTGAGCTTCACCTAACATTTAAAACTTTTTTGCTTCAAAAGATACCATGAAGAAAGTGAAAGGACAGCCCACAAATAGGAGAACATATGTGCAAATCATATATCTGACAAGGGATTTGCATCTAGAATATAAGAAACAAAACTCAATAATAAAAAGACAATCCAATTTAAAAATGGGCAAAGGATTAAATAGACATTTTTCCGAAGAAAATATACAATTGGCTAGTAAGTACATGAAAAGTAATTAGAGAAATGTAAATCAAAAGCACAGAGAGATACCACTTCTCACCTACTTGAATGGCTATAATAAAAAAGGCAAACAATAACAGTTATTTGGTGAGGATGTGGAGAGATGGGAATCCTCATGCACTGCTGATGGGAAAATAAAATGGTGCAGCCATTCTGGAAAAGTTTGGCAATCCCTCTGAATGCTAAAAATAGACTTACTATATGCCAGCCATTCTAATCCTAGGTATCTACCCAAGAGCAATAAAAACATATGTCCATCCCAAAACTGGTATTTAAATGTTTATGGTAGCTTTATTCATAATAAGCAAAAAGTGGAAATAACCCAATGTGCACCAACTGATGAACGGATAAACAAAATGTGATACAGTCATACAATGAAATATTATTTGTCAATAAAAAGGAATGAAATACGGGTTAAAAAAAAGGGAAATTTGGATCCTCAGAGGTTAAAGAGTCGCAAAAGGCCAAAGAGCCAGGAGTAGATGACAGATCTGATTCCTTGTGTATGGTTTTTCCCGCTCCATTGTGCTGTACAGACTTTGACTAAGAATATCCTTTACTGATGATCGTTATCAGCAGATATTAAGCACTGTGGGCAAACACAGATATGATCCATCTTTTCAAGGTGCTGACAATTTACCTGGGGAAACATGATGTTCACATAAATTGATAACAATATAAAGAATCCTGAGGGCCGGCCCGTGGCTCACTCAGGAGACTGTGGTGCTGGTAACACCAAGGCCACAGGTTTGGATCTCATATAGGGGTGGCCGGTTAGCTCACTGGATGAGCACGGTGCTGACAACACCAAGTCAAGGGTTAAGATCCCCTTACCAGTCGTCTTTTAAAAATAAATAAATAAAAATAAAGAATCCTGTAAGTTACAAGGGAATGACAGATGATAAATGCCTTAGAACTTCTGAGTATGGGCTCACTTCCAACAGGTGAGCAAGAGAAGAGTCATGGAAAAGCTAGGGATTTTAAAATGCAAAGAGAACAGAAACACCTGAGTCAAGGAGAAAAGCAAATACAAATTTGGGAAAAATGCAAGGCACATGTTGAGAACAATAAGGAAATGAGTTTGGCCAAAGCATAAGGTCAGTGTAGAGAGTAATGAGAGAAATGCCTGGAAAGGTAAGTTGAATCAAATGTAACAGCACCTTGATTGGGCAGACTAAAGAAGCCGGACTTAGTCTTCAGGTAGAGCGAAGTCATTGGAGGTTTCTGAATAAAGCAGCAACATAAGGCAATGTTATGGAAAGACTAAACTAGCAAAGTGATTCCCCATGGCTGTGTGTGCTGTGTGTATGCTATGTGTGTAGCTGTGAGGGAGATAGGCAAATATTCAGAACCAAAAGGAAGCTTTTGCCTTTTTCATACTAAATGTGAATCCATTCCCGAGGCTCATTCAGGGAGAATTCATTGATGTAATGATCCGCTATTACCACTGGAAGTGACCATACTTCTCAGGCATTGTTGGGGAAATAAAGCTTAGATCCACTGGCCCAGAAGCAGTGTGCAGGATGGTATGGGAGGCAGGAGTGGATTAAAAGCAGGGAGCACCAGTTGGACGCTATTGGAATAGCCCTGGAGCGTGATCGTAAGGCTGGATATAGAAGGGAGTAGAAGGTTTGGAAAAGAAGGGGCAGCCTTGTCTTAAAATGAAGTACTTACCTTGCTCCCTTTACTCTCCTATAACTGAAATGGCCACAGGGCTCCTGATAACTGCTTCCAAATTCAATCCCCCCAAACCAAAAATTGGTTATTTTCTGAGACAAATATAATTTTGCAATTTCTTTTCTAACAGACAAAATTAGGGTGAGTTGACTTTCAGGATTCAAGGAACATTTAAATCTATTTTGTGTGGGAACATTATTTTGCTTCATAGACATTTTTAAAAGATGTATTAGTTTCATATCTTTAGAAATGTTATAACCAGCACTAGCAAATTTCTAAGTCCATTAAAAAACCCCAATAATAACTACCACTCATCTTTATTGCACTCTACAATTATAGAGTACTTTCATATCCAGGGACAGAGATATTATTTCTCACTTTACAGTTGAGGAAATAATCCTGGAAATGCTAGGGATTTGCCCAGGCCTATGCAGCTGGAAAGGAAATGGCAGGACTGAGATCCTAGCCTAATGTTCCATCTCCTATACTGTTGCCTCATGAAGTAAAAACAAGGTTGGCAAAAACTCAATTGTCAGAGGCATTCCTTTAAGTATTATTTGGTGCTTACCATGTGTCGGGTACTGGGGATTTAGTGAGTGCTTTCACTGAGCTTGTAGCAAGTGGAGGGTATAGACTACCGGTAATTATCTGAGCTAAGAGGGATGATTAAAAGTATTGAAATTAAAGTATGAGTCATGAAGTAGGGCATAAGAAATTGCGAATGTTCACTAATAAGAGAAAGAGGGCAGGGGAAGGGGTAGAAGGAGAGGGAGAGTGATAGAGATTCAAAGTACAAAAATAAAAGTTTAAAAAAGAAACAGGTGAAAACGCAAAGCACAAAGCCAATTCTCCATAAATGTTAGACAGCAAGAGCAGCCAATGTGTTTCTACTCACAGTTGTTCACATGGACACAAAACTGCCCAATGCCATTTGAATCCATGAAAACTCTTGAAGGAAATGGGGAATTACTTCTGAAGATAAGCGAATTATCTACACACACCCAGCTTGAAGACCTGTGGGGAAAGAGGATGGAGAAGATACACTTGGAAGCGAAGGGGTAGGTCTAAAGATGGGTGCTCCACGGAAATCAGTCAGATGCCACAGAGAGACTCCTTGGGCAGCTACAGAGCAGCAGTAAGGTCCTATTCTACTGGACAGCCTTACCCTAGAAAATCATAAAAGGAAGGCCACTCCTTGGAAAAACGAAGAGTATGTCCAAGGAGTGGAAATGGGGGCAGGAGGTAGGAAGGGAAACTCGTCCTACTTCCAAATATTACACACTCCAGGCCCCCAATCCCCTGAGCACCGCAGCTCACCTTACGCTGCCAGGAAGGCAGAAGGAGAAAACTGTCCTCGGATGGAGAAGATAGCAGTCCCCGTCGCAGCAGCAATTTATATCGCAGGTACCAGGAGTCAAGTCACAGACGCAGATCGGTAAGACTAGGAAAGTACACCAAGTGCAGCGAGTGAGATGAGGATCCCCAAACTCTTCCAAGTGCTAATTCCCCCTCTTCTGACAGCCCCACTCCTCGCTTTGTGGCAATTCAACTTTGTCGACAGAATTTTAGATCTGAGAAGTACGTAAATAGTTCCCAGCCTCACAACCCTTTCCCTCACCTGGGAAGAGGTCCACGGTCCTATTCCCAGGCGCCGTAGGGGCCACGAGAGTAGGGCCTACCGTAGAGATCCCAGGCAGCACGGCCCGGGGAGTGGCAGTCCCCACGGAGGAGAACGGGAGGGTCCCGCCTTGCGTCCCTGGTCCCAGGTCCGAAGGGGTGAGGACTGCCCCTGATGGGGACGAAGAGGGCTGAGGCCGGGAGGCCTCGGGAAGCATCAGGAAGAACACTTGCAGAAGCACGAGTTGCAGGGTGCACATGAGCAGTCAAGAGACCCCCGCAGGGTCCAACGTGGGGCTCCGCGGTCTCCTGACTCGTTGCTAGAGCGTGGGAGGGAGGAGTCGCATAGCGTGCGGCGTCGCCCGTGGGCATCCGCTGATTGGCTCATGGCGATCGCTGAGAGCTCTTCTGCCAATAGAAAGCGGGGTTGTTGCAGCTCTTGCAGAATCCCTCAGTCTGCGCCCTCCTCCTCAGGCCTCGCTGGGCGCTGCCTCCGTCGCCTGGCAACCGCCAGTGGCCAAGGAGCTCTTGACCCCACCTCTCCGCTAGATGGCAGTAGGAGTTCGGCGGACTGCTGGGGCCGCGGGGTCTAGCGCACACTTCGCGGCCCAGAGGCCTGAGCCCTTCCTTCCTCGACGTAGGGAAACCCCAGAGGCCGGAACTAGAATGGCATTATCTTTTTCGTCCCGATTCCAATGGTGACAAACCCTTTCCATGGACAGATAATAATCTCAGGGGGAAAAATACACCGAAGGTCGTATACCTTAAAAAAAAAAAAAGTCTCCCCTAAAAGTAGTATTTGTTTTTTTTGGGAAACACATTAGAAATAACGTTCATTCAGCTCACCAAATTTTAACATGGAGAATTTTTTAGAAACCTCGATAAGTGTCTCAAATCATTAAAGGTGGACTGCATGGGGCCGAGCCCGTGGCGCACTCGGGAGAGTGCGGCGCTGGGAGTGCAGCGACGCTCCCGCCGCGGGTTCGGATCCTATATAGGGATGACCTGTGCGCTCACTGGCTGAGCGCGGTGCGGCCGGTCTCAAAAAGGATAAAAAAAAAAAAAAAAAAAGGTGGACTGCATGTTCGTTACGAGAAAAAGTAGTGAGAGAAGAGGGGTTAGGAATAGGTAAATGGGGTAGGGAAAATCTGAGAAGCTAAAGAGCAAAAAAAAGAGAAACAGATTTTTAGAATATGAGGAAAAATTAAGATTCAAGAATGGAAGAAGCCAAGTGATGGAGAATAAAACTTATTATTTTACCATTATGATCGCCCCTTTTTGTAACCCTCTTTAGGAGGTTTTCGTCTTTCCCAGGAGCGGCAGGAAAAGGCCAAGTTCAGATTATTCAAATTATATGCATTTACTAGAATATAAACTCTACAAAACAGGTGATTTTGTCTATTTTGTTCACTGTTTTATCCCCATGCCTAGAACAGTGCCTAAGACATTTTAGGTGTACATCAAAGATTGTTCTAAATTGCTCTTTAGATTTAACTCATGCATATTTATAGTTTTTTAAATTTCAGGATTGCATTTCTTTCTATTAAATTTCTATTGTACATCTGATCAGAGTCTATTTTATATTTCAAAGCTTGGAATCTAACACAAATCAGTGTTATTTGTGAATTTATTAGTGTTGGCAAAAGAGTCTATTGACTGAATAATTTCAGAGTTGAGTGATTAGGAAATAATGTTTCAGGATCTTTCTGAATTGCTTTTTCTTATTTTTGAATTTTAGCCTTTAAAATATTTTTAGAAAAGAATTTTTTTCTTTTCTCTGTTTTGTTATAGTTGAGCAAAACTTTGTTTTATTTTTTTTTATTATTACTATTATATGTTTGTTAGGAATATCTGCAATACAGAGCTCTTAATTCTTCTGAGACCTAATATTAAAATCTGAAAGATGATTTTGAGTAAGGAGAATGAAATTTATTCACATGTGTTATACAGATGCCAGTTTTAACATGCAAACCAAGTCTTAAATTGAGATTGTTTAATATGACATCACCTTGGAAGCAGACATTTCCAAATTAGATCATATGATACTAGCAGCTGTCCGTGTTTGGGATTAGAACATTCAATATGTAATTGGAAGTTTAGCCAGGAGATTGGATCACGATGGCAGACTAAGAATAAATTCTAGTCTCTTGCTGACTCTCACCTCTTTTCCAAATCTTTAAAAATTACAGAAATGTTAGATGGATACACATACTTATGTACGTATGTGCATATACCTTGATTCTGAAAAACATGAAGGGGTGCTCTCAAGGGAACAGACATTATGTGAATCCTTGAAAAACAGAAGGCAGATAGGATTGGATTGAAGGTGGACAAACAAAAGTTGCATAACAGAGGCCTTATACAGAAGTGGAAGTGGCTCTTGGGGTGCTCTAAGCACACAGAAAGAAGCTATAGGGAAAGTAGGTGCCCTTAGACAATTGTATGAATTATCAATTGAAGTACCACCATAGGAAGAGCCAGGTAGGTCTGCCTCTCAAATTTACCCTCATTTGTGCATGCAGTGGGCAGCAGAAAATTGGCCCCTAAAAGTGGGATGTGGGGAGGGGAGGTAGGCGCTTTTGCTAAAAAGGCAGTACAGTGCCCTGGATGGCATCTGACATCTAGAGGAAAAAGAGTGGCCCTCATCTTGAGACTGGTATTAACAAAACTTGTCAAATTGCATATTCACCATTCCCTTCTGCACAGATCCTGGAGGCAGAATGCAATGAACAGATTCAGCACATGCACATACTAACAGGGAATCTCAATTACCAAGATGAATACACAATCAAGAGATCCACATTTGAAAAATAAAAAATACCTAGCAAACAAAAAGGTGTACAATACTCAAGAAGAATTAAAACCTTATGAAATGAGTTAATAGAACAGGTTAGAATAAAAGTTCAGAACAAATATAATTAACATCCCTAGAGAGATACAGGAGAATGTTGCATCTATTAAACAGGAATCAACTAGGAGTTATGATTAAAGATGGTAGAAAGACGCATATTTGACTCTTTTTCTGAAATTTTATTAAAATACCACTAAAACACTGAAACGGCCATAAATCACAAAAACAAAAGGAACTGGGGGGTCTGGGTTGAACATCAGTAGATGATTTTCTGTACATTTCTGAAGAAAGAAGTTGGAAGAATGTTGACTGAAGAAACAGCAGCCTAGAATATACACAGGGAGGAGACCTCAGTAAAGGAGGCAGATGACTTCCAGAAGAATACCACAGAGTAGTCAGACTTAAAGATATAGCAGGTGAGAGAGAGGGCAAAGGATGAAGTCCACTGGAAACAAGGAAACAACTGAAGATGTGCATGTGAAATAGTTTGCCTGTGCACTCAAAATGACCTAAAGCTAGATATTTTCTTTCGAGAAATAAATATTAGAGAGTTCTTTCTAGAAATGGATACACTGTCTAGTTAGTGTCCTCAGAGAGTTGAGAAGTAATTCATAAAACATTCATAAAACAAGAGCAGAATGCTTTAGCAAAGGAGCAATCAGAGAATGAGAGAATTCCTGGAAGTTAAAACTGTGATTGCTGATCTTAACTTTTTTTGTTTCTTTAAAATTCTCTAAGGTAAATATAAGTACATCTCCTAGTCTATAGAACAAAAAGATAAATAGAAAATATAAAACATAGAGGGTCAAATCTAGAGGCCCAATATTTGGTTAATATGAGTTCCAAAAATAAATAATAAAAGATAAAATGGAAGAATTAAATTGGTTAAGAAATATTAGCACATTTCCCAGTGATAAAGGAAATGACATATATAATGAGTACTTGAATCCGATAAACAAAGAATACTCATTCCTTTCAAAGTGAGCCTTCAGATGAAAGGATCCACTGAATAAAACACAGGATTAATGTAAAACATATACACATACAGAAAGTAATGGGGATAAGGTAAGATGGTGGCATATTAATGATGAAGGGAAATTTTAAAGGTTTCCAGAGAGAACAGAAATTCGGAACTACTTCTAAAATAATGAGAATAAAATTGACAGTAGATGTCAAATCAGCCATACCAGGTGCAGGTGATCAGCAGAATAATATCCTGAAAGTTCTAAGAGAAATTATTTGAAGCTAGAATTCTATACCCAGTAACAGTATCGTTCAAGTGTGATTGCTAAATACATTTAAAAACATGCACGTGCCAAAATTCTATCATCCATAAATATATATGAAAGATTTACTAAAGGATGCCTTTCAAGTCTCTTTCTGCCCCCATTGCCAAAAAAATTCAGAGAAAAAAGTGTGGAGTAAAAGAAGCAGCAATGAGTAGAGAAATCTTTTGGTCTTATTCATGGGAGAATATAGATATGAATTGTAATAGTAGGAGAAATATGTGCTGTAACAGGCAAACTCTACTCTCTCAGGGAAGGGTTCTCATACTCACGTCACAACATAGTCCAATGAGGGTTGATATGGGATTCTGCTCCCTTAAGTCATTTAAGGACTAAAGTTCTTTGCACTAAGTGGCTTTGCAGTCCTCAAGGGCCTTGGAATAACACACCAAATCCTCTGGATGGGCTGGGAGATACATAACAAGAGGGATGGAGGATCTTTGGGGGAGTTTTCGGGACCTGGAAATTATATACATTTCCTTCACCCACATTTTGTTGTCTAGAACTCTGTCACCTGGTCTTGCATAATTTCAGGGAAGTCTGCAAAATAAGTTTTCCCTCTTCCCATGAAGAAAATGAAATTAAATTTAGTGAACACATAGTTTTATCTCTGCCACAATAATGGGTTCTAGATATTCATAAAAATATTTCTTAATATGTGCACTAAAAATTTATGGCCAGAATACTGAAGTTTGTAGGAGTGAGATGACTTGTCTGAGATTTACATTAAATTAGCAAAGAAAAAAAAAAAAAGAAAAAGAAAAAGAGCAGTATTAGATAGAGCAAATGTTAATGATCGTTGAATCTAGGTGATAGGAATTTGAAAGATTATTGTACTCTTCTTTCCAATTCTGTATATCTTTGATTTTTTTTTTTTTATAATAAAAATGTTTAAATGTATGGCTGAAAGAATAGAAATAGCATACTTCTACAAAATTGAAGAAGGGAAATGAAAGAACAACAAAAACAGCCCAATGCAAAAAAAAAAATGTAAGGAAATGGCAAAACAACAACATAAATAGGCCCAAATATGTAAGTAATTACAATAAATATGAATAAGTTTAATTCATTTATTAAGAGATTAGTTCTTTTAGATTAGGTTAAAATATAACATTAGTCTGTAGACAAGAGACACACTTAAAACTTAACAACACA